TGAACCAGAAGCATCACTAGCTATTGCAAAGCCAAGGCATAGGGCTGGCCTAAGGCAGAGCTGAGGTAGTGATAGTGGTACACCCTTTCCCTTCAGCAATGGGGCAGAGGGATTCAGAGAGAGTTTCTTCCTCCTGTACTCAAGCAGTGTCAGAGGAGCACTGTCCCTGTGCTAACTGACATGTTCATACAGCCTAAAACACCTCCGAGTCCTGTTCTTGGCTGCATATGTTAAATATTTTTGTTACCACGCTTGTCATAAACAGAAGATCATGACTTCACTGAAGGTCACAAACTTAAGCAAAGAGAAGACAATTTTATCCTGAACAGAACTGCAAAGATTTGGAGTAGGTAGGAAAGCAGGGCTTCTGATAAAGCTAGTGTGGCTCTGAAGTTCTCTTCCTCATCTAACCCTCAGCTTAATGCAGTGGATCCCTTCTCCTCTTTGGAAAGGGTACACATGTTTTAATTAGAGTAACACCTATGGTATCAAGTTATTTCACTGTCTCAGGAGAACATTTCTGCAGGGCGACAGACAATTGTGGCTAATGCCTTGTCTTACACCGGGTTAGAGACAATACAGCATCTCCTCTCTGTAACTGCTGCTCATTGCTGTTGTATAGCGGTGTCCAGGAAACAGAAAGCATGTTTAAAATTGTTGCAAAAAATTACCAGTACAGAGACAAATTTTGCAAGTATTTTGTAATTGAAACACACTGAGCATGGTGAGCATTGTAGAGTTATTTCAGTCAGTTTGGGCTCCTATCCAGTACTTTTTAAAAAAACCCCATAGCTAACATGCAGCATGATGGGATAGTCTTTGGCTGGGACATTCAGGCCATTAATTTAACTGTCACATCGGTCTCTTGTAATGGTACAGTTTTAGAGCGTGGCTCACCATGAGCAACTGGACACCACGCAGAAGGAAGGCCATTTCAGGACTTTGTTGAAAAACCCACTGAGCCTGGAGGACTAACAGGCAGTCACAGTTGAAACGACGTTAGCAAAATGGCCTGAAGCCCTTTTAATTTTTTTTTTAATTGAAAACCTGAAGATTCTGTTAATGTGAGTATCAAATCTAAAAACATTTTACAGAAATAAGACACTTGTAAAAGACAGCTTTTTCGCAAAGGAAGCAGAGTGGGGAGGAATAGGATGAACTTCACCATTAAGGTCCCTTCCAGCCCAAACCATTCTATGATTTGGGCAGTTAAGATATTTAGACTGAACAGTGTGGCAGCGTACTGCTCAGGAGATGCCAATGTTAAAAGTGGGAAGGGCAACTTGAACATAGACTCGTGACTGAGTGTAGCAGTTTGTTTCTTAGAGCAAATACCCTTTCCTTTCATCAGTATTCAATGACTACGCATGGACTTGTACCTCAGCTTTGTATGTATTTACTGTGGCCTGGACTACCTGACACCTTTTGAAAATGCTGTTCCTTGGCTTTGTCAATTAAAGAGGTTAGGGAACAGAATGAAGTTATCAGACAATGGATGTCAAAAACAAGGAAACACTTTTCCTCCCTCATAAAATCAAGGTGTAGAACTTCTTGCTGCAGCAAACTGTGGAAGCTACAAGTATATACCTGATTAATGAAAGTGATGAGGCAAAATTAATGGAAACTAAATATATCAGCAGCTACTGCAGATAAATAGCCTGCAGCTCTGGAAGTCTACTAAAAAAAAACCTACACCAAACCAACCCAAGCCCAAGAATCTGTAACTGTGAGAAGACAGGAGCATGTAAAGTGTGGAAGAGTCCAGTGCAGAGCCACAAAGAAGATTAAGGGAGTGGAGCATCTCCCTTATGAGGGGTGGCTGAGGGACCTGTGTCTCTTTAGCTTGAAGAAGAGGAGACTGAGGGGTGACCTCATTCATGTTTATAAATTTGTAAAGGGTGAGTGTCAGGAGGAAGGAGCCAGGCTCTTCTCAGTGATAGCCAATGACAGGACAAGGGGCAATGGGTGCAAGCTGGAGCATAGGAGGTTCAACCTGAACATGAGGAAAAACTTTTTGACTGTGAGGGTGACACGAGCACTGGACCAGGCTGCCCAGAGGTTGTGGAGTCTCCTTCTCTGGAGACATTCAAAACCCGCCTGGACCTGTTCCTGTGTGACCTAGTCTGGGTGATCCTGCTCTGGCAGGGGGGTTGGACTGGGTGACCTTTCGAGGTCCCTTCCAACTCCTAACATTCTGTGATTTTGTGAAGGATCTCTGCCTATGCGCCCTCTTTCTCTGAGCGTCTCCTGTTCGGCACTGCCTGGTGCCAAGCAGTGCCTTGTGCACTGTGCATCGTGCAGGAGACGCATGAAGTGAGCAGAGCTTTGCAGGGGAAGGAGTACCCAGGGACCTGGCTGAGAACTGCATCAGGCACAGGCTCACAAGCAGCAACAGTCCTTGCTATGACAATCATTAATATTTGAGTGCTTAAATGCTTTTGTGGTTTTTTTATGATACATATTTAAAAATAGATAAAAGAAGGAGTCTGTGCAAATGCAGACTTATTTCTGAAATACACAGTTAACACAGATTATGCTCCGGATTTTGCTAGAGTTAATGGTATTCCTTCCTCCCACTCGCACTTTCCTCCCAGTTCTGCCTTGAAATTCAGCCTGTCAATCAATTGCAGACAATTCTTATAGTCTAGATTATTTCCTGGCTTCCTGCCTTCAAACATTTACATTCTGCAAGCACCAAAACCCACCCACGCAGTACATAAAAGTTTATAGGTTTGAAGAGCATCATTAGTGATACTATTTTTCCCAACACCTCAGAAATCACTTTTACATCTTTTAGCCTATGTATAATAGGATTTGCTTCCTGAGTCTTTGTTTTTACTTGTCACTTTTGTATGCAAAATACTTCAGAATAACCCAACTAATAAAAAGCCTAATTCCACTGTATAAGTAAAATGTTAAAAGGAAGCTTCATTCTCTGCCCATCAGTGCAACTACTCTAAATCTAAACACTGCTCAGGACATACGGCAACAGACAGCAAAATGAGTTGCAGTGAACGCTGGTGAGCCATATCCTTCCTAGGTATTCACACAGGCATTCAGCCAAGCACTTTGATACTTTGTTGACACAAGAGCAGTCATTTCACAGTGAAATCTTTGGGCTAGAATCTACAGAATTGAGCGAAACCACTCAGAACAACCATAGAGACTGGTGCAGGTTGAAGAATGCAATACGTTCAGTCTGGTGAGCGGTATCAGCTCAATAGATCCAAAGGAGAATGTTTCTCTAGAGACCTGCATGGCACAAAACATCAGCAATACAACCATCTCCCATACTGTTTTTTTTAAAAAATGCCTGATCCTGGTCTGGGATTGTTGAGCTGCTTCACACTTTTGAAATGTAGCAATCAGAAGATCAGCAGTGCCATTCAGCTCCAAGCGTACAGAGGGGTCTCTGGTACTCGCAGAGGTGAACTGCAGTGCACACTGTTACTTAGAGAGGTCTGACGCTTTTTCTCATAAAAGGTTTTGGTCATTTACAAACCTAAGTAGACAATAAAAAAAGCGCAATTGTGCGCTGTTGTCTAAACTCTTAGGTCTCTTGGATGGTTTGGATGTTCTCAAAAGAATTCCTGCATGGAAGTCCAGAAGGTCTGAGGGAAGCTGAAGAGGATTACCACTTCACACTGACAGTCTGTCTAGAAGACATGAGGACTGTGACTTTGCTTGAAAGAGGCATTTCAGAACATCAGACCACAAAGTCAATGTCATCCAGTGCTACAGAATGAGACCTTCTGGTGCAACAGTATCAGCCTCAGGGGGTACCTAGATCCTCCATGTGCATTTTGGCTGACCTACAAAGCTGTGCCAATACCCTCCTCCATGACCTGCCAAGTCAGCTCCGTGGAAAGCAAACGGGGGGATATCAAAAGAGCACACACCAAGTGAGCGAGACCACCCAATTCAGCCTCCAAGTGTCAAGCAGGCTCTGGCTCAAGCAGTGTAGAAGCATGCTCCTGCCCTTGCCTTCCCATGCAAGCCAGAGCAAGTTTCCCAGAAAGGGACCAAACCATTTTTTTTAAACTAAATGCTTTTAATAGAAAACAAAATACAAAATAACTCTTTCCAGAAAGCAGAAATATTTAATCTCTCCAAATGACAAACTAGAACGTGCTTTCTCTGCAGATCCTTGCTGTAAATGCTGATTATTTATCTCACAAAGTGTTCATGAAACTGATATTGCAACATTTTGCGAAAAATCCAACACTGGCAGAGCTGCCTCTGTGTACGCACAATAATTTAGTAATACTATTTTTTCCCATGTCACTTTGTGTGTGTGTCTCTCTCTCTCTCCGTCTGTCTCTCCCTAGACCGCCAACTTCCATTTACGGAAATATTTCTGTGAGGTGCAGTAGTGGACTGACGTGCCCTGTTTCCATTAAGAGTCCAAACATAGCTGCTTCAGTTCTACTGTGCCCTCCCTCCATACAAGGCAAGTTGTTTGTTACCCTAAAAGCCACTGTTCTACCCCCACTGTCCTCCCATCCTCAAAATACAGTGCAACCAGATTCAGAAAGATTCCTAATTAATGGAACATAAATACAAATATCACAGCTAGTACCAGGAACCAAACCCAAATGAAAACACAGAGATGGGCCCCAACTGAGGTCAGATTTCCACCCCCTTACTAAAAAGAAAGGTGGTATTTTCTACTTAGCTAGTCCAAAATATTTCAGAAGTGCTGTAGGGAGCTGTAATATTTAGGACCGCTATCACTGTAGAAAATACATAATGTTCTTTTAATATAAGGGTCTTAAAATGCTGGTCCTCTGCAATACCAGCAAAACAAAAGCAAAGCAGAACAAAAACCACTGGGCCAGTAGTTCTCCACACACTCAAGCCTCAGTTAACAGTAGGTAAGATGTGCCCATCAATCTATCAATGTGGGATATTTAAGTGCAGATCAGCAGCTTATCTGGTTGGCAGTTTCACTTGTTTGGACCAGGCTTTTGGTTTCCTCAGGCTACTGGATTTCCTCTCCTTTTCCCCATTTCTACAAGCACAAGATTAGAATGCATACGTATTTTCATCACTCCTCCTTTGTTCCTTACTCCGTTCATCAGCACAGGCCTTTTTGTGGGCAAGACATTTTAAAGCATTTGCATCACTCTGAACATGCCTTTCAAGGCGGCAGAGGAAGAAAAGTGTTTCACAGTCAGTAATCTCAGCTTGCAATGGACTCTGGCATTCAATATACCCACCCATTTCCCTAAGAAAAAAAAAATTAATGTTCCTGATTTTCTTGTGCAATTCCAGTCACTAGAAGAAGATTACAGGCCATAAACTGTACGCTCAGTACATTATTCATCTGTCCGGTATATACACCAACCAGTTCACTGGAAGACCCATCTGCAGGGGCGTTGCAGTAAGTATTCCGAATGTCCCAGACGCGAACTGAATTGTCCATCGATGCCGAAGCGATCAAACTACTGTCGGGGCTAAAAGTAAGGCTGGTTATGTTGTCTGTGTGCCCCCTCAGTTCTTTGTAAAGAGTTCCTGACGCCAAGTCCCACAGCTTCAGCCGCTGGTCTTCACCTGCTGACGCCAGGTACTTACCGTTGGGAGAAAAGGCAAGCGCTAGCACAGGGCCACGGTGCCCGGTGAAGAGACGCACTGAGTTGCCTTGCTGAGTGCTCCACAAGCGCACGGTTTTGTCTGTGGAGCCCGTCGCCAAGTAGTTGGAATTGGGGTGGAACTTGACACAGTCTACGTCCGCCAAATGGCCCGCGTATATTCGCAGCGGGTACGTCCGATCGAATGACCAGAGCCTTGCAGTGCGATCGTGAGAACCACTGGCAAAGTACAGGCTGCAGGGGCTAATATCCAAATCCCAGACAGGATAGGCATGTCCTTGGTACAACACAGTGTTTGTAAAACTCCCGAGGTCCCAATACCTGATGGACGTGTCCTCGGAACAAGATAAGAGTCCCGAACTGTCTGAGAGGAACCTCGTGCTATACACAGGCCCACAGTGTCCTCTCAGGATCTTCATTTCTGTGCCTGCACTGTCATCCTCTTCCTCCTGGTTGGGGAGGAGAAAAAGAAACAAGAAAGGAAACCATGTTTATCTGTTTGACAAATACAGGAACCACCATGAGAAAAACAGGCGGGTATTAACGCTGAAGAAGTTATTTTAGACGTGGCACATTTTGTGCAACTCTGAGACACAAATATTGCTAGTGCATCTGCTACATCTAAGTTAACACTGAAAGAGATGGGGAGGTAAGTCTTTATATAAAAAGTGTCTATCTTCATTTTGGGTAGCCTCATGCTCACACCAGAAGGCACCTTAACCTAAGACTGCCGGCAAATAGGGAAAAAAGTATTTTATTACATTTTTCCACTTGCTAAAATTCGTATGCTTATTCCCTATCCGCTCTCTACGAAACGTTTGGCTGAATGTTGAAACAGATCCTGGCATCTGCTCTTTTGGTGTGGTCATTATTGGAAGTGAATCTCACAGCAGAGAAAAAGAAACACAGATGTCTTAAACAAAAGGCAGGAGGTGGAAAGACAAAGCAAATCTGACAGGCTGTCTGCTGGACATTCCTTCTTAGTCCCGCACACAGTGAACAGAAACCCAGTAGGGCCATAATAGGTAATTCTCCACACAAGCTCCATCCGGATGCTTTCACATCCTCACCCTTCACAAACAGCAAATATATGCAGCTTATTTAGGTCAAAGGATCTATTTTGGGGTAGGAGACAAATAATCACAAAAAGGATGGCACTGGAAACCTTTTTATCCTGCAATTTTCCAATTCAAGTATCCGGGCAGACAGTCTACAAGTAAAGGTTTTCATGCTTAAAGACTGTTTAGTGAGCTATGCTAAAGAAACCTCCCAATGGAGGGTGAGTCTCTGAAAGTTTACTCAAGTAGCATCTTTCGACAATTGAAGGCTACAGACTGCACCATTTTCAACAAATCTCAAGAGTGTCATTGCCCAACAAGCTGGGGTCTCACTGACAGAACATGAGATAACCATGGCTTGGGGTGCACCTGCGTAGCAGCTTGAGTCCACCTTTCCTTGGGGCTGTCAGGCCCTTTTCCTCAGTACTGAATCAGTAACACTCACCCATGGACAATCCCTGCACATCAAACCCAACACAAGCCCTTTTGTTTGTGAGCAGCCCCTTTAAGTTTCATCAGCACAAAATGGCTCGTTTCCTGCCGGAGGAGCACTTCCTGCCCCAAGAGGAAGCCCAGTTCCCCAGGGCTGCCAGACCGCTGATGAACAGCAGAAGTCGGTACATCATGAGCAGCCCTCCTGGCTCACAGGACATCTCCCACCCCTCTGACCCCAGGACCCACGGACAGTTTTGCTTCAGTGTTCACAACAGACCTGAAAGCTCTTCTCCTCCAGTGGTGTCAAATCTCATGTCAGAGGTGAGCAAACTCTGCCTTGGCAAGCTTGCTACCTTGCTCCATCTCAGCTGCGTGTTGAGTGGTAGGCAGCAAGCCATGTTTAGTAATGCTGATTCTCTTTGGAGTAGTCAGTGCCCATGGGAGTTTTATGATGTGGCTGGGAGCCAACTTCATCTCTACTATGGAGGTGAGGCAGAGAGAAATCGCAGGCTGCAGCACGCAAAGCCCCATTCGTATTCAAATTGCTTTTGCTACCTGAGATAGAGCATTGCTTGCTGGAGTCCACAGCATCTCCAGGCTATGTTACCACATCAAAGGAGAGAGGCTTATACCTGCAGCATTTATACTATTTAATTATGACCATAAGATTCCTGACAAGTTACCAGTGGAAGCCCATTCAAGTTACCTATATTATACTATAGTTTCTGTAAATTCTGCAAGTCCAAGTACTTAATTTTATGCCTTCAAATTCATACAGGGCTACTTGGGCTATCTGCAAGCACATACTCTTTGTCTATTACAAGCATCTGCTCTTCTTGTGGATGTTTTTTTACCTGGACTTCAGTAGAACCTTCAATACTGTTCTCTACAGCATATTCTCATGGACAAACTGGTTGCCCAAGGCTTGGACAGCCACTCCTGTTTAATATCAATGATCTGGATGAGGGGATTGAGCGCACCCTCAGTAAGTCTGCAGACTGCACCAAGTTGGAAGGGAGTGTTGATGTGCTTGAGGGTGGGAAGGCTCTGCAGAGGGACCTGGATAGGCTGAATCAATGGGCTGAGGCCAACTGTATGAGCTTCAACAAGGCCAAGTGCCGGGTCCTGCACTTGGGTCACAACGACCCCATGCAGCACTACAGGCTTGGGGACGAGTGGCTGGAGAGCAGCCTGGCAGAAAGGGACCCAGAGGTGTTGATTGAAAGCCAGCTGAACATGAGCCAGCAGTCTGCACAGGTGGCCAAGGCCAACAGCATCCTGGCTTGTACGAGGAATAGCATAGCCAGCAGGACTGGAGAAATTATTGTCCCACTGTACTCAGCACTGGTGAGGCCACACCTTGAGTACTGTGTTCAGTTTTGGGCACTGCAGTATAAGAAAGACATTGAGGTGCTGGAGAGGGTACAAAGAAGGGCTATGAAGCTGATGAAGGGTCTTGAGAATACGTCTTATGAGGAACGACTGAGGGACTTAGGGTTATTTAGTTTGAAGAGAAGGAGGCTGAGGGGACACCTTATCTCTCTCTACAACTGCCTGAAAAGAGGTTGTAGAGACGTGGGTGTGGGTCTCCTCTCACAAGTTACAACTGACAGGACAAGAGGAAATGGTGTCAAGTTATGCCAGGGGATGTTTAGGTTAAATATTAGGAAAAACTTCTACACAGAAAAGGCTCTCAAAGACTGAACAGGCTGGCCAGGGAAGTGGTGAAATCACCATTCCTGGACATATTTAAAAGCCATCTGGATAAGGTGCTCAAGCGCATGGTTTAGAAGTGGGCATGGTGGAGTTAACGGCTGGACTTGATGATCTTAAAGGTCTTTTCCAATCATAATGATTCTTTGGTTCTTTTCTTATATTGCCATAGCAGCTTATTTGACAATGCCTTCTGCAGATCTCAAAACCACACTCATGTATACGGTCTCACAGGAAGCAAATCTTATCTTTGACTCCTGCTTAGACACTCACTTAGCATAACAACTGCACACTTCTGTTATAGCTCACCAAAAACATATACCTGTAATGCCTCTGAGTCACTGAATTGTCTGTTTCCTCCCTATCCAAGTTAGTCTGCTGACCAGATTAACAGAGCAGCTGGAAGTGCAGCCACTAAATTACCGCCTTGCAGAACCAAGCTTCATTTCTTTGTCAGATCAAACACGCTCTTCTTTGCATTCCACAGTCACCATGATGTAGAGGTAAGCATTTACCGCAGCTACAGAAAGGTTGCAACCTGTGTTATTAATCAGCAAGGAGGCAGGGAATTCGTCTTCATAATATTTTTTCAGTATTCCAATTTCACACACTGGATAAGTTTCCTGGATATCACACACCACTGGGCGCTACCCAGATCTCCATTAGCTTCTTATGAAGTGGTTCCTGCTGCAGGTCAGCAGGGACAATTT